TCACTCCCCCCCTAGTGGGGCAGTGACGACCCTAAGACGTGGCCAGCCAGAAGTTTAAACCCAACGAGTTTGTCGTTGGTAAACACTCTTCTGATAGCTTACTAAATTTAGCAGCGTCTGGTCGTCTTTCCTTACTATATGGGACGGAGGTACAACATAGTAAAAAAAGAAAATGTACATGGAAAATTTCGGATCCTCATAAACGTCATCGTTCTTTTCCAGCCGTCCTGGAAAAGAAAAAAGAAAATGTAAGTGCATGTCGAAATACACTCGTATGTGCGTCAAAGCACAATGTCGGCGGAAAAAAAAATGGAAAATAAACTCATGAACACGTAATAGCGTTAAAAAAATTGTTTTTTTGTTTTGTTTTTTTTTAAATAGAAATAAAAATATATAAGCATATTAAAATTGTTTTTTTTTTTAAAAATAATATAAAATGTCGAGAAGTGCCTTACGTGCAATAGTCGTTTAGATGTTCTGGAAATCTCACCCTTCTTCCAGAACGCGTCGTTTTAAGTTTATTTTCGGATACTGTCGAAGTATCATCGTGTGTGTTGGTTGTCGGATGAGGTATTATAAGTGTCGGAGTCGTGTCGTTCAATTGTACCGAAGGAAAATCCACGTAGATAGGATTTCCTTCTAAATACGCTGCTTTTAAGCGATCGATACTGATGCTATCGTTGGTTCCGTTCTTATCGACTATATAGTACTTAGATTCACGTTGAAGAACTTTGAAGGGTCCTTCGTATGCTGATTCGAAGGGTCGTCGATGCGAGTCTCGACGAACGAAAACGTGTGTACTATATCGTAAGTCAGGTTGAACGAAAACATCAGTCGATTGAGGTCGGGTGGAAGCAGGTTTAACTGAACGCATTGCGTTTGTAAGCCTGTTCGTGTAGGAGGTTAGATCCATGTTCATTGAAGAGGATGAAGGATCCACGAATTCTCCTGGAAGTCGAAGTGTCGTACCATAAACGAGTTGAGACGCAGTGTATCCAATGTCAGCTTTCACTGCATTGCGGATACCTAGTAAGACGAGTGGAAGAGCGTCGGTCCACTGTGAAACGTTTGTAGCTGATAGCGAAGCTTTCAGTTGTCGGTGAAAACGTTCTACCAACCCGTTTGCTTGTGGATGGTAGGCGGTCGTTCGGAAGCGAGTGCTTCCTAAAAGAGTGGTCAGACGACGGAAAAGATCAGATTCAAATTGACGTCCGCGGTCTGTAGTGATGGTTGAAGGGCAGCCGAAATTTGCTACCCATCGTTCGACGAAGGTGCGGGCCACTGTTTCAGCAGTGATGTCCTTGATAGGTACTGCTTCTGGCCATCGAGTGAAACGGTCTACGCAGGTTAAGAGATAAGAGTATCCATTTGAATCTGGTAAAGGTCCTACCAAATCCAAATGAACATGGTCGAAACGAGCATCGGGAGTTTTAAACGAGCCTAAGGGACATTTATTGTGTCTTATAACCTTAGATTTTTGACAGCTTACACAGGAGCGTGCCCACTCCCTCACGTCTTTATTCATTCCAGGCCAGCAAAACCTTTCTGCTATAAGCTTGATGGTTGCACGGGCACCTGGATGCGAAAGTTTGTGCAATGTGTTGAAGACATTGCGTCGATAATGTTTCGGCACGATTGGGCGATCCCTACCTGTAGATGTGTCACAAAGTAAGGTTTCCTTACCTGTTCCCATCTGTTTGATGCGTAGTTTAAGTGTTGTGGACGATAACTCGTGCCGAAGATCAGTGTCTTCTTTTTGAAGCTCGGCGAGTTTAAGAAGGTCGATTCCTTGGAAACTGTTCAAGGAAGTTATACGAGATAAAGCGTCTGCAACTACATTGTTTGCTCCAGAGACGTGTTGAATATCTGAAGTAAACTGCGAAATGTAGTCCAGTTGTCGAGACTCACGGGGAGAGTACTTGTCAGAAGGAGAGCTTAACGAGAAAGTAAGCGGTTTATGATCCGTAAAAAGAGTGAATTCACGACCTTCGATGTAGTGTTGAAATGCCGTACAGCACAATACATAGCTAGGAGTTCCCTACCGAATGTGCTGTACCTCGATTCGGTGTCTAGCAACCGTCTAGAGAAAAATGCCAAGGGTTGCCAGGAGTTGTTAACCCATTGTTGTAAGACTCCTCCGATTGCTGAGTCGGATGCGTCTACTGCGATGCTAATGGGTGCTCGGGTGTCCTGATGTGCGAGCATTGTTGCTTTAGCAATCAGTTCCTTAACTGTGGAGAATGCTTTTCGTGCGGTGTCGTCCAAATTAATGGATTTCGCATTTCCACGAAGTTGGTCGGTTAGAGGTTTCATGAGTAATGCGCATTTCGGTATGAAACGTCTATAGAAACTTACCAGGCCGTTAAACGTGCGTAATTGCTTGACGGTGGTCGGTTCTGGGTAATCCAGAATGGCCGCCACTTTGGTCCTAAGAGGTCGAATGCCTTGAGCATCGATAGTGTGTCCTAGGAAGTCTAACGAGTCGGTTCCGAATTGGCATTTCTGAACGTTTACAGTTATGCCATGTTTTTGAAGTCGTTCGAAAACAAGATCCAGATGCTTGAGATGTGTTTCTCTGTCCGGACTTGCGATTAGACAGTCATCAACATACGCGTGTACGAAGTTGAGACCTCGAAAAACGTCGTCTATGAATCTTTGGAATGTTTGAGCAGCATTCCTTAGACCGAAAGGCATTCGCAAAAATTCATAGAGTCCGAAAGGAGTTATGATAGCTGTTTTCGGTATGTCGTCAGTAGCCATAGGGATTTGGTTATACGCTTTAACCAAGTCGATTTTCGAAAAGACAGTTGTACCTTTCAAGGTAGCTGTCAAATCGTGAATGTGAGGCAACGGGTAACGATCGGGAATGGTTTTCGCGTTCAATCGCCGATAGTCACCAGTTGGACGCCAATCGTTGCTGTCCTTTTTAGGGACCATGTGCAACGGAGATGCATATGGGCTACTTGACGGTCGTATGATTCCTAAGTCCATCATGTGATCGAATTCGTTTTTCGCTAACCTTAGCTTTTCAGGAGCTAGTCGGCGTGCTTTAGAAAATACAGGTGGTCCTGTAGTCGTGATGTGATGTGTAACATTGCTGGTTACACACGGTAGTTTCGTTTGAGTTTGTTGTATCTCAGGGTACTTATCGAGTAGTGGTTGATAGAGTGGGTCTATCATATGTTTAACTGTGACTGGGGATACTCTACAACCAGTAAAAGAAGTTACGCAAACGGACAAATTAGTGTTACCGTCTACTAGCCTCCGTTTGCGCGTGTCGATGATCAGATTGTGGTGTTGTAGAAGATCCATACCAATGATTGGCATAGAAACATCTGCAACAACGAAAATCCAGTGGATGGGTTTGCGTAAACCCACGTTAAGGTAAACGTACCTTTTGCCATACGTAGCGATCGGTTTTCCGTTTGCCGCCTGTAAGTTTAGGGTCGATTCGTGTAGTCGGTCGTTAGGAATCGCTGGGAGAACGCTAACTTCTGCGCCAGTGTCGACGAGGTAGCGAACTCTCGTTGTCACATCTGTGACGAATAACAGACGGCTTTGTTCGCCGGCTACGGTTGCCGTTAACGCGTGCCGGCTTGGAAGTTTCCCGAATTGCTTTTCGAATCAGTCGGTTTCGTGTTGGGAAAATTGCAGGGTTTTCTGCAATTTCTGGAAAGCTTTCCATACTGGTTATGATACCAGCACCAGTCGGGGTTATCTGTCTCTCGTGGTCTAGAGACAGATCGCTTACGAGAAATGCTTCTACGTGGTGTGCGCGATCTCTTACGGTCGTTACGAAGACTAAGATAACGCGTGAGTGTGTGACATAAGTCGTTTATATCATTCTGAGTCGTTTGAGGTTTTTCTTTGACTGAAAATACCTCGGTAGTAGATTTCGTAATTTCTAATATGCGGTCGGCAGATGCAGCTAGCTCGTCTAAGGCGTTGTTCTGGAACGAGACCAGAACTGCTTGCACCTGTTGGGGAAGTTTTGACAAGAAGAGTTGTTTGAATAGGCCTTCGTCGAAAGTTCTTGGGCCTATAACCTCTCTCATCCGTTGCAACATGTCTGTCGCAGAACCGTGTTGCAGGTCGATATTGTTGAAGAGTTGATCTAACCTTTGTCGATCGGTTAGGTCTCCTCGTTTAAGAATCGAGCGTTTTAAGATTTCGTAAGGATCGGAAACATCACTAGTAAACATACTAGGTGTTACGTACCTGTTGAATTCGCGCGGTAGTGCCTTGACTACTGCGAGGAATTGTGCACGTGTGTCGATCACGCCGTGCTCGGAGAAGTCGGCTTCTGCGTAGCAAAACCAGGCTTCGATGTTGTCGGGCCAGAAAGGCATGAGTTGAAACGAAGGCGGGGACAAAGTCTTAAGCTTGAGTACTTTAGGTGTCTGTTCAGTCATGATGAAGTATGAAGTACGATAATGAACAAGGGGAAAATATATATATCCAGGAAAAAACACGAAAAAAAAATCACAATGTTTAAAAAAATTAAAAAAAATAAGGCAATGATATATAAAAATCCCAAAAAGGAACAGACTCACAGTTGCAATTAGGTGTACCAGATCACGTCGGTTTCACCAATGATGATGTCACAGGTATTCAGTGTTTGACAACGCTTCTACCAGTAACACCTTCTAATATATTTCGTTCCCGCCCAGAGAAATCAAAAGACAGAGTCGAGGAGATCGGAAGAGTATATTTGGCGATGACCAATATATCGGAATTCTCTGATCTAATCTGGCTAGCGATTGCGGTTGATGTTGAGCACGGCGTTACCACACGTGATCTGGTGCGGATGACTGACCGAGCGCCTTCAGCTAGGTGAGTCCACTAAAACATATGGTCAGCATCCAATGTCGAAAACTTAGTGCTATTTATTTTGGGGATTTATTTACCGCTACAACAGTATTGTAGTATAACCTACTATTATTTCTCTCGCATCTGTTAACTTTACCTAAGCTCCTACCTGGAGGCATCGGCAATCCTCTGCCACTAGATACGGAAGCGCACTAGACGAAAACTTTTGTTGCGTCCCAAAACATTTGTACCATTTGGACCATTTAATAGTTGAGCATGGGGATTCGGTGACCTTGAGGGCTTCAAATTTTTCCAATTTCACCATAGATATCTCTATTAGGATGATTTGGGCATAATGAATTAATAGAATTTGGTCATAGTCCATCTTAGGTTGCTTCAATTTCGCGTCAGCCCTTAATCTGTCTGCAATGGACAGGGATACGATGCTTGAGAGTTTTCTGGTATATTGAATATTAATTTTTGAGCGTGCGCTTCCTAATATTATTCGACTTCTATAGGCGTGTACTGGATTAACAGATATCACGTATGCAATATCAATACTGGAAGACCATAACTGGGACTTAACGGCCGCTGTTTCCAGCATTATTAGTGACGTGTTGCCAGGTAATAACAAATGTTGTAAACACCAAAAATTTCTGATACACCTGGGGAAGTCCCCTTTACTGCTTCTAGGTAGCGAGTGCTTTACTGCTAAGAACAAGGTGGTCGGCAAACTTAATGCATAAGTTCTGTTGATGTATGTAGAAATGGGCCTCACCTAGGGGATTAGAAAAGCATTGATCCCCTTAAGTTTATAAACCTTAGTTTCCTGATAGAAACATATGTAATTGTTGTAGTTATTGGCTATATTAGTTTATACAGCTAGCGATGCCAGAATACAAGTAGTGTGTCTAGTTCGCACGACATTTGGATGTAATTATTCGTGATTGGAAATCAATCCTTACATAAAATTGTATTGGTCAGTCGGTAAAGCACTGAATCATTAGCCAAAATTCTTCAATAAAAATCCTTTCGCCATTCAACTCTATCTATCTAACCTGTATACAAGGCTGTCGACCTACTCATAATACTTGAAGTAATCTATTTTGTAGGGTTGTAAAAAGTGGTGTTATTACTTAAAAAACAAGCGATTCGTATCGTCATTAATAGATGCGGGATAATAAAGTGTACACGAGTCATATAGAGATGAATTCTACATATTTCTGAAGTCACTTTGAAGCCGTATCATCATAATGAAGTAGAAATCTTGGGTTAATCTAAACCAAGAGAAAGCAACAGACCCTTCTGGATTACCACAGATCTTCAGTAATAAGGGTAGGAAGTCTGTCGACTTATATTATTCCTTGCAGTTTGTAATACTGTAGGGGTCCAGTGTCGTTTTGAATATATCAACAGAAAGTGCTGATATTACGTGTCCCGGTAGAGAATTCCAGTAATTCACTTCTCGGTGCGAGGAACGAAACTCCAGACGTAAACGACTTGATCTCGGTTTTTGAACTTTGAATGTCCTCTCAAATGATCTTTCCTAGATGGAAGTAAAAGATAAGACATATTAATACCAAGGTTATCGTTCAGTGTACGATAAGCCAATATTAGATCACCCCGTATTCTACGGTAAGATAACGGAAATAAGTTAAGGTGTTTCAGTCTGTTTTTATAAGATAGGTCAGATAGACTTTGTACCATCCTAGTACCTCGTCGTTGGACTCTCCAGCATCTCTGCTTCATACTTGAGACAAAGACTCGCTGCTTGAATCCCATATTTTAAATGTGGTCGCACATAAATCAGATATAATAATCTAAACATTTCATCATCTAAATACTGGGATGTCCTACGAATAGACCATACTACCCTATAGCCTTTCGCAGCAGCGGCCTTACAGTGACTAGTGGTTTTGAGACCACTGCTTAATATGTATTTTATTATATTATTTATTTAAACACATAAACAGTGGTACAAGGAGGCACCAAATAGATATGCGTCACATAAATCATCCGATTTGTGTGAGGGCTGCTTAATATGACTCCTAAATCTTTATAGTTTCTTACTTTGGGTAGCACAAATCCACATATGGTATAGTGATACGATTCATCAGTTATTTAATTGCATCACCGCACTCTTATTAGGATTTACTTCTAGTGACCGCCTGTCCAACCATGCTACCAATGAGCTAAGATGATTCTGTAATACTATCCTATCCGACATACTGTGTATGGGTCTCCAAATTTTTATGTCATCAGCGAAGAGCAGAACGGATGATTTTGCTACAGTTGGTAATTTATTTAAATAAAGTAACAAGAGAAGGGGACCGAGGATTGCCTTATACACCGGACTTATTATAGAGTCTTTTCATTTTCTGGGCAGTCTGGACTGCCTCAGAGACATGTCAAACAGTATGGTTCAGCAAATACGTCTGGTATGGCTTACATAATCTTAGGATGAATATCATCAGGACAACTGGACTTATCAGGTTTGAGATGCTGAAGTAGCCTTAGGACAGTACCTTTCTCAACGACTACAGGGTCCATCAGCGAGCCGCCACAATCACAATGAATCGTCGATCATTCTTCATTACTGATAGAAAACATTTTACTAAAATATTCCGATAAAGCTTCGGCTTTTTTGGTATCATTTCTTGCTAAGATTAACGGATATTCTTGTATCAAAAGTTATGAAAATCCATCGCTTCTCTGAGTTCTCCTTTTTATATACGAGCATAAACGTCTCGAACTATATCCAGAATCCCTAACCAATTGTTTTTCATATGATCGTCTGGTCTTACTTATTAACGCTTCACAGGCATTCCTAATCTTCCAATAACTGGACCTGTTCACTAAGGGTCGAAGAATATTTAGGTCAACAATATCCTCAGTCTCATGAGTGATTACCAAGTCCAACAGAGAAGAACCTTAGTTAGCACCAAAACGTGTGGGTTTGGATACATGCTGCACTAATGCATGCTCCATTATTGTTATCAGGGACCTGCTATCAAACGAGTTTATAGATCCTTCCGTGGTCATTTCAGTCCAACTAATATCAGGTGCATTAAAGTCTCCTATTACCAAGTATCTGTTATTTGAACTCCATAGTTGAATGTGCTCTAAAATAAAGTCATCAGCTAAACAGATTAGGCTGTTATAGATGACACCGGGCGTAAATGTACCACATCCGATAGCCAATTCACAGCTAATAACTTCACAAGTACCGCCATCATGGGATTCGCTAGCAGAGAAGCGGATATTTATATTATTGGTTATACATAAAAGGACGCCACCTTTTCTACATCTATATCTATTACTCCTTAGGTAATGATATCCGGACAATTCTGGAGTAATGTCTAAGTCATGGACTAACCAAGTTTCTGTCACTGCTACAATGAGTGGCTTTAATTTGTTCGCTAATGCTTCTAGTTCATAGAACTCATTTCTTAGACTACGAGCTTTAGCATATAAAACTCCTAGGTAGAGCGGCTTATCCACACAGGCCTTGGTAGCATTCGCCTCCAAGACCTGACTATCCGAAATTCCACTAACCGGAGATTTTCCTCACCGTTTTGTTGACAGGTTTCTAGTTCAGTTAGTGCTTTCTTTTTGTTCTATCTTCAAGAGATATCAGGTCTTATTCGAATGTTGGAATTGACATGACTACGAGCGCTACTTAACAGGAGATCACGTTGCTTCTCCGATCCTAGGATTACCTTAAGGAGTTTGCATGGTCGGGGTTCAACGTTGTCCTTGGTCCTCTTACCTATTCTAACAAGTTTTTTGACCTGAACTCCTTTAGAGTTATCTGGTAAGATACTACAGCAACAATGCAAGCATGTTCGGGATGCGATTCTCTCCCTCGAAATGCAAAATGTTGCTTCAGGATTGGGTTACATCGACACCCGAACTAGTGATAGGGAGTGAAGTAGTTGAGTGTGTCGACCGCTTCACTTATCTTGGAAGTCTCATCAGCCCTTGTGGTTTAGTGTGTGACGAAATCTCAGCACGGATACAGAAGGCTCGACTAGCCTTTGCCAACTTGCGTCATTTATGGCGTAGGCGAGATATCCGTCTATCAACCAAATGACGTGTTTACTGCGCAGCAGTTCGTTCCGTCCTACTTTATGGCAGTGAAACATGGCCGGTAAGAGTAGAGGATATCCATAGGTTACTAGTATTTGATCACAGGTGTCTTCGAAACATTGCTCATATATCATGGGACCATCGAGTAAGTAACACAGTTGTTAGGAAACGGGTACTAGGTAAGGATGGCAAATCAATTGATGAAGTAGTGAAACTTCATCAGTTGAGATGGCTGGGACACGTGTTACGTATGCCCAACGACCGACTGCCTCGACGTGCTATGTTCAGTGGTATAGGAGTAGGTTGGAAGAAAGCTAGGGGCGGCCAAACCAAAACATGGCACAAGTCCATGAAGTCACTGACAAGTGAACTGAGTCATGTTGGTAGGTGTAGACTACCTGGTTGGGGACCGCGAGATGATAGCAACCGATGGTTAGAGACCCTGAATGACATGGCTCAAAATCGTTTGCAATGGCGCAGGTGCATCCACTCTCTGTGTTCTCCCAAATTCTAATCTTCTGAATTCTTCATGTCCCTTTTTTCCTCTTTCCAAATTTATTTCACTGGATTATACTCTTTAAATAACATCTCCAAACCCTAATCTTCCCGATTACTGCTTATACTCTTATTACCTCTACCACTACGAGATTTGAATCGACAACTGTATCTCTGTGCTAATGTGGTGTGGCAACTCGAACTGATGTACGTACGTACGAAGTTCTACGTTGTTACTGACTGACTGAAGATACTACGAATATATTCTCCCAGATTCTCTAAATCATGCGCGTGTCTAATTTTGGGATAAGGGTCGTTTGACTCCAGAAATTCGCTCACAATAATATTCAATGAGGTTAGATTCTCCTTTCCAGTCATACCAGGATGGGTTTCTCTCTTACTATCAGACTTTGGCAGTGCATTTTGTGACTCACAATGGGGTTCCACCAATCACTTACTAACCAGCTGCGTACTGCCTACAGCTTTTTTCTTTTCGTTTCGTTTTCTCCCTACTGTAGTCAATTTTTCTTCCTTCAGGACACCTGGACTATTTGGAACGGTGACGGTTTTATCCGGATCTTCAATTTCCACTAGAGGTGCATGATTACCAATGTCGATATCAGGTGGTACATCCCTTCCCGTTAATATTAACGGAGATTTCACTTTTCCGTCAACCACAGTCGGGTGTTTGGGGCGTCTCGTAATAGCACGTACACTGACACATTCTTCACTGTCAGTGCTCGTGTTGTCAGCTCAACCACCATCGTTCTTCTTACAGGCCAAAGCCAATAGGCTTATAGTCTCCTGTATTAGTAACGTCTTATTTGGATAGTGGTCCAGTTCCAGCTCTTAGATTAACGATTACTAGCTAATGTCTGAGAACCAAATGAAATTTTGAAGGAATCTGTTTGTCTAGAATATTATCCCCAGTAATTTTTTAACGCTTCACTAAGGCTCGTGAAAACCTTATTTAAACACAAATATAGTACAAGGAGGCACCGAATATATGCACCTCACTTCATTCGATTTGTATGTGGGCTGGGATACTTCCCGGGCGCCCGAACCGTAGCAGGTGGTTTTCTTAGCAGACCACACTCCACTAGGCAGTTGAGGAACTTCAGGAGATGCAGTCCCATGGTAGCCGGTAACCAACAATAGATTCATGCGCCATCCGTTCCCTTAGGATCCTGGAACCTACGTGCACCATTAGTTTGGTATTAGGGTTTTCCAACTCCCCTAAGTAAATTATCCATATCCACCAACCCGGTTTGAGCGCCGGACATTCGCTTTTTGTCTTCTCAATTTCGTAGACAGTAGTAACGCCTCAAGAAGGCAGTGATTAGGACTTCCCTGACTGTGGTTGTACGTATGTGACCATGTAAGAGTAATTGGAGAGGGAGAGCTAACTCTTCCCACTCTCGGTTGGAGGTTAGAAGTACCTGTAATCTTAAGTGGGGTGGTTCTATTTGTGAGATCGGAAACCACATCACTAAGCTACTCGGCCAATGGCTGATCTATACGATAGGTATCTAAAATTGACTGATCACTTAGTAGCAATCGATGTCAATTTTTTAGTCGTGATACCACCGAACAAGTGTCATGTGTTGATGACATTGGTGGAAAAACCATACTGGGTCATCATAGTCAATCTTCTCAACTACATACACTTAATTGTGTTAATAGTATAGTGGGATTTGTGGAGATTATTGATTTTTATTGGAATCACGGACCTATCAAAGTTAAAGGGTAATTGAAAACCTGGAAGCACTGGATGATCCTAGTATATGACTCCTGATCCTGGGATCTACGGTATAATATTTTCATTAGTGGTTGGCTTCGAGATACAACTGGATTTTTAGTGAGAATACCTGTTACCATACCTCATTAACACAAGATGAACAGATTCATAGGAGTAGTTAATTCAATGGTGGTAATATATAAAGCAAAGACTGCATATAGGGATATAGTACAGTAAGAAAGAATTAGTCTGTAGCTGATTGACTGACTGTAGTGAGAGTCTGTAACCATTCCCGTTCAACCATGTCGGGTATGAGACAGTTATACACCTCGGTCAATAGATGAGGGCTACACAATATTGTGGAATAATTAAAATTAGACATCAACACTGTTAAATACCAGTTTGGTCAGTGGTCTAGAGGTTAAGCGTTCTCATGTGAGACCGAGAGTCCTGGATTCGACTTCCAGATGCCCAGTCGTAGATAAGAACTGCTGAGGAGAATATGGGGACAAATCAGTTGTAACTGATCATTTATTATAAGTTTTCTTCCCAATATTTTATTTTGTTAATTACTTTTTGTTCACCGATTTCTACCTGGATTATGTAAACCAGAAAATAAGATACGAGATCATCTTTTGCAGCTTATTTGCATCATTTATTGTGTGATTTGGCTTACCAATATATCTGTTATGTTCTGAACTAAGACCAAAACAGTATCTTGATTATTTAACCTTTATTCGCACTACTGATCTACAACAATAAAATATTCATGTGAACACATGATGGTTTTTAAAGTCGGCAAATATTTTTTCTATTTTATTGACAGTTCCAAGCGTAATTCTATGAAATATTTCTCGATTTCGAATTTTTACCATTCATCCTAGCAGTGGAAACACTTTATCTTCACTCAAATAGATATTCAACGGGTGGTCAATTGCAAACAAATAATTTAGTGGGCGTTCATCAATGATTTCATTTGATTTTGTACATTCAATACAAATACTGCGTACTTTTAAAAAATGTAAATTATTCATTATTTTTTTAGCAGGATCATCAGTTGTCCAAGAAGATCAATCTGTTCCATATTCCACAGTTTTTCCTATGACTCCGCTTGGTGGACCCATTCTGTCATCTGAATCCCCAATGAATCATAACTTAGGGACTCAGACCGTTTCCGTATCAACTATGTGTGATATCGATACTGATATTTCAGGGTGCGATATATCTCCAGCGATTTCTCGATCCGTTATTGAACTGGACAGTGATCAAGCTACTATTAATTCCAATAGAGCAGTTCGTATCCTGAATTTTGAAATAGATTTGGAATTACCTATAGATGATGATACAGATCATGAACAAAAAGTTGTAAAAGAAAGTTTTCCTTTTCCTGATACGGAGACAGTTGGATTTTTGAAACAACATTTTATTGACTGTCGGTTGACTGAGCTCATACAGTTAGCGACTAGTCCAGAATTAGAATCGAAAATAACAGAGTGTAGCAAAGCCAACCTTTTAAAGCATCTTGTTTTGGAGAGTTCTGGATCTCATTCTTTTTCTGACAACTCAGTAAGATATACAATTATTTTTCTAATAATACATTGTCTAATTGTATTTATCTGTATAGTATTGTAATCGAGTAAGAAATGTAAGCGAGTAGATAACATGGTCCAACTATATTGTTATGTCATATCTTTCTAGATCAGAATATTTCCGGTCCTTTATTTCTGCTGATACTTTTTTTGACCGACTTCGTTTTAAGGTATTCATGTACTTGAGTTTAGATATTATACGGCTTTATGGTTTGCTGGTTAAATGAACTTCAGCAATTAGGGTAAGGTTGGTGGTCTTGAAAATTTGGGAGAGTGTCCGCAGCGTTCGGGCAATATCTGTTTAAAGGTAGTCATGCACAGCGTTTTCAAGAGGGGTTTTTATTGTGTTGGGTCGGTGCTTTTCAGACTACTGCCGAACATGGAAGCCCGTGAGGTAATACGAAGTTTTATATTTTTAGGGGTGATCGTTTCTTACCCCTCCTTTCGTTGTGAGAAAGCAGTATGTCTGCAATTATTGGTTGTCTAAGGGAAATACCGTATTGACCTCATATTCCAGTACAGTCAACAGTATGATTTCTCCCTTTGACCCTAAGTTATTGCTTTTAGTCTTATCCTTCTCCAACTGACTTGGTTGGCATGATGGACCTTAAGAAAACAGAAGCACCAGTCAGTATAAGTTGATTGGGTCATCACGATATAGTATCTCAACCACCATATCTAGGTAGTGGCTGCTGTCAATATGAAACCACATGGAACATTCAATATCCTCTACGCTTTTAAAATTACAGAATTAGCATAAAGGTATGCAATCCAGGCTACTAATATGTCAAATTAAAATCAATGCTTTATTTGTTGTTTGTAACGTATTGTGAATTATCATGGAGTTGGAATTCAACGTTAAATTTTTTACCCAAAAATACTTAAACTTTTCATTTTTGCAGTTTCATATTTGAAATTCATGGGTCAGTTATTTACGTGCATGATTTTTCACTAAAACTTTACCAACCAACTGGTAGGAAAAATTAGTCTCTATCCTTTTAATTGTAATTTTATTCCAGACGCTCCTTCGTGCATTACATCTACCGAAATGTATTAAACTTCGAGCTAAACTCAATCCGGATCCATTACCTTACTCGTAAGTGTTTATTTCACGATGCTCCTCATTTTCATCCCCGAAATAAATCAACATATTTGTTTACTCCTTTCTTTGTTTCGTCATGCGTTAGATACATGTCAACCGCAAAGAAGTACTTTTTTCTCCTTGCGATTAGTTAATAATTACCACTCACAATTGCCTACATACATACATGTACACACGAAAAGTGATGCAATATTCCCCTATTGGTTAATCATATGCAATGATTTGCTTGGACTGTAAACGTAATTTTATAGTTTTTTACTAACAGATAGACAGCATTTCATATTTGGGTAAATTTGTTTATTAGTTCATTAAATTTTACACTGGGTTAGTTAAAGTAGAAATTATTAACGAAGAAAAACGACCATGATAAACAATATTTGTAGGGTCAGGTGAAAAATTTTGAAGGTGTTGTTCTCTCTGAGTCCTCAAATGCCCTGGTATGACCGAGAGTGGGATGGGCCCGCCCACTCGAAATGCTGTCACACGGCCACGCGTATACAGCCTCTGCCAGGGAAGTCCTAATCACTGCCTTCTCGTGGCGGAGGGTGTTGTTTACGAAAATGAGAGGACGAAAAGCGAATGTCCGGCGCTTTAACCGGATCCCAAATTAATGGTGCACATGGGCTCCAGTATCCTGAGGGAACAAATGGTGTATGAACCAGTCGTTGGTCACCGGCTACCATGAGACTGCATCTCCTCACGATGCTCCACTGCCTAGTGGGTTAGACCTTTAGGTCAAAGGCTCGGGGTGTGACCCCCTAAGATAACTACCTGCTTCGGTTTGGGCACCCGGGTAGTACCGCAGCCCACACACAAATATGATGAAATGTCGATATTTATGGGAAATACTTGTCTTTCTTCGATTAACAATCAAACGATTCACATTATTATTATTATTATTACTATTATTGTTATTATTTTTTTAACAACATTTATTCACTCTCTTTTATTCCCACTCGGTGTATCCTTATTTTTCGACTTATACAGCAACTCGCCTATGGTGGAAACTCGGTTCTATCTAAACGTTCTCGAGTCACTGCATGGTTAAAAAATTTATGCTACCACCAAATACGAATCCTGAAACCACGTGCACCATTCAAACTGGCTGCCTTCAACGTTCGCACACTTATTCAGGTTGGACAACAGATAGGGTTGGCTATGTTTTTGGAAAGTCTTAATATTGATGTTTGTTGTCTATCCGAGACCTGTATTCAAGACTCTGGCGAAGTACTACAAATTCGATCTCCATCTGTCGCTTCGAAAAGCTTGTTTTACGTGCGCTTATCCGGGGACCCTGTGGCATCTTCGTCTGGTCTTGCAGGCGTTGGTGTCGCACTAAGCGCTAGAGCTGAGGCAGCACTAGTCGATTGGATCCCCATTAACAGTCGGTTATGTGCTGTTAGATTAGAGAGTTCCATCAAAGTGAGAAGAAATCGGCGTGAGAAACGATGTCTTTTCGTCATCTCCGCCTATGCCCCGACAGATTGCAGCCCGGACGCAATCAAGGATGAGTTTTACCACCAGTTATCTGTTCTTCTCTAGAAAGTGCGTTCGACAGATATTGTAGTACTAGCCGGAAACTTGGATGCTCAGGTCGAGCGTCTAGGCACAGAAGAGAGTCGTTTATGTGGCCGATGAGGACTCGTTTGTCTCAGGACAGATAACGAGGACCGTCTACTGCAACTGTGCACAGACCACAACCTGTTTCTGGCTAGCATTAACTTTCGGCACAGTCATCGCCGATGTGCCACCTGGCATGCACCCTCTGCATCTCAAGCCTGGACTCAGATTGATCACATCGCGATCAGCTACCGCTGGCGTGGTTGTGTACAAGAATGCCGCTCCTTTTGGAGTACCTATCTGGACTCTGACCACGCCTTGGTCTGCGCCAACCTTGCCTTACTTTTCAGTGGCCAACGCCATCAACGGATTGATGTTAGCAAGCTGGTTGCAACTTCTGTTGCAAGTAAGTATCGAACCGAGCTAGCCTCTAGGCTAGCTACCACTCCACCGAAAAGTATAGATGAGCATTGGTTTCAACTTCATGACGCCATGAAAATGGCGGGAACAGTCAGTTGTGGGTTTGCGAAACGTCCCGCTTTTAAGCACTGGGTTTCTTCTGGTTCCTTACAACTCATTGAAGCCCATCGGTCTACTCCGGGTGACCGTGAGTTTGACCACAAACTAGGGGTATTACGCAATAAAATTGGGCAAAGCTTGCGTAAGGACCGAGAAGCCTGGTAGTCGGAGCGTGCTAATGAGCTGGAAGCAGCAGCTGCATCTGGTAATTACCAGAAGCTCTTTCAATTCATCCGAACCACTGGCAGCAGGAAGTTTAATGTGAGCAAAACAATCTGCGAGGATGACGGGATGGCAATCACTAACATCCATCGACGTCTTGGACGGTGGGCAGAATTTTTCGAAGGGCAGTTCAACTGGCCTGCTGCTCCGGCAACAACGGTCAGACTGTCCTGCCCTCCATGGCCGGTGACGACTGATCCACCAAATGAGGAGGAAGTCCGCAAGGAACTCCAACTCTTGAAGCGCTACAAATCACCTGGCCCAGATGACTTACCTCCGGCTCTTTTTAAAGATGGTGGTGACTTTTTGACTAAGGAATTGACAACGTTGTTTACGAAGGTTTGGGAACTAGAGAGTGTACCAACGTCATGGAATGAGTTGATAGTTGTCCCTATCTTTAAAAAGGGTTCACGTCGTTCCTGTAACAACTATCGGGGGATAAGTCTACTTCTGGAAATTAATAATAATAATATTAATAATAATAATAATAATGACAATAATAGTAATAATAATAATAGTATTAATAATGGCAATAATTGTAATGATAATAATTTGAATCAATTGATTGTTTTTCGAAGCGAGAAAAGTAATTTCCATAGACATAAAGAGTTCATCATTTGTGTGTGGGCTGTGATACTGCCCGGGTGCCCAAACCGAAGCAGGTAGTTATCTTAGGGGGTCACACCCCGAGCCTTTGACCTAAAGGTCTAACCCACAAGGGAGTGGAGCATCGTATGGAGATGCAATCCCATGGTAGCCGGTGACCAACGATTGGTTCATACGCCATTTGTTCCCTCAGGATACTGGAGCCCATGTGCACCATTAATTTGGGATCCGGTTAAAGCGCCGGACATTCGCTTTTCGTCCTCTCATTTTCGTAAACAACACCCTCCGCCACGAGAAGGCAGTGATTAGGACTTCCCTGGCAGAGGCTGTATACGCGTGGCCGTGTGAGAGCATTTCGAGAGGCAGGGATGACTCTCCCCACTCTCGGCCGTACCAGGGCATTCGGGGGGCCACTGTGTTGCACCATCTCTAGGACCCCAACCAGGGAGTCGTGAAGGTTCAACAGAAGCCAGTCCTTTGCAGCTTTCTTTCATACCACGACACCATGTCATGCACTGACCACCTCTCCGCTTTTTCCACTTAGTCTCAGTGTCAGGAAATAATGCACGACGTGGAATTCTCTGGGACAACATTCTTAGTAGAACATGTCCGAACCACCGAGTTCAATGTTTCAAGATGGTGACACCAATTGAATCATCGTCGCTGTGCCCGAACACACGATGCCGAACCTCGGCATTACTAACATGGTGTTGCCACTGGATGTCAGCAGTCCTTCGGAGACAACGATGATCGAACACAGAAAGTCGTCTAACGTCCTCAAACTCGGAGAGGCCAGGTTTCACAAGCATAGAGCAAAACTGCTCTCACCGACGCGTTGTAAACCCGATCTTTTACATCTGAGAGTAAGAAAAAAGACAACTGAACATTTCATTTAATCTAAACTGAACTATGAAGTTGACTCATTGAACAGTCATAATCTAAGGTGGATTTTTCCTTTGTTTCAACTGAACCGTTGAAAGAAAAATAACTTTCTAATATATGTAATGTTTTTTGTCTGTTATTGACTGATATCATGAACCGATTGATGTTAGACTACCATCGAAAACCTGGAAGAACTGGACGACCGTTTCGTCTTATTGTGGGACTCGGCGGTGCACATCCACGGTCCCGCTTGTGGGATTCGAACCCGGGGCCTTGAGTCTCTCGCGCAAACGCTTAACCTACTAGACCACTGAGTTGGTCGGCATCCAACGATGTCTAACTTCAACCAATCCATGAAATTAAGCGATCATCTCCGATTGTACTGAAGTAGATATCTGTCTCTACCCGACACAGATTAGCTCGACTGGTCACGTCTTCTCACTAGAACTCTGAGAATTCCCACACGAAGCTAGCCACTAGTGAGCACATGGTAATTATCGGTATAGGGTTGTAGAGATTATTAAGTTATTGATTGAGATCATGAACCGATTGATGTTAGGCCACCATTGAGATCTATTTACTTTGGATATTGTCTCTTTTTTTAAAAAATTTTTCTCTTCAAACTGGAAAAAAATATGCTCATCATTTGCACACATTTCTTTTTTAATAGTAATTATTCAAATCAACAAAATGGACAAGTTGTATTACATATTAGTGTATATAAAACAAGTGATAATGAAATACTGGCGCAAACAACAACTACTACTGATAATAGTAGTAGTTGTTGTGACGATGATGATAATTATAACACTAAAGATATGAATCTATCTGAAAATAATCAACTAAATACTGATAGATCATATTCACCTTATGCTTATCATTATTTACGTTTACCATGTGATTCATATATATCAAAAATACATAATGATTTACATCGTATTACTGGTATACCAATAACAAATCAATTATGGTCTATTAAATCAAAACATAATCGTAATGATAATAATAAGAAGAGTAATCTATTATTTAGTGAACAAATACCATCGAATGAAGTGTTGAATTCATTAGTCAATGAACTGAGTCGGCATTATCCTCAACAGTTAAATAAACAATCCATTTTGTCAAAACATTCAAATGTTTCTTCTACTATCAACACTGATGATGATAATGTTGTTGAACAAAAATCTAGTCATGACAATGTAACATTAGCTGATTGTGGTTTGAAATCCGGTGATGTTTGTGATTTATGCGTAAGTTCATAAGTATCATTGTTATTATTATCACTAATCTAATTGTTTGTTTCTGTTATGAGGCTTAGCATGGGAGACTACATTTTATACATATAAACACCCCTTGAATCAAATCATGTACTCTCATATACAATCTACACTAGGATCAGTTACTCCTTGTAATCTAGTTTACACACCGTTTCTCATTCACTGATTATAGGAAAGATTTCTTTAAAATTAATTTAAAGCGTCTGAAAAACCGTACATAGACAATTTCTACTTAGTTTTTAATATGTTATCTTTCACCACTCTTTGAATTCCGCGCGATAATTCTAGAGGCACTGTCGTGAAACCGGGCTGGTCTACTCAACATCATAAGCATAGTTTATTTTTACCAGAAATTCTAATAGATAATTTCTTTCTGAAGTACATCCTGATTTTGTCCAGACAGTCAGTGAAGTCCCAATGAATAAACCATCCGAGTCAAAGGATAAAACGCATCTGAAATCTCCGTCTTTGGCACCGTTCTGATATCTGACTCTAAAGGGTTGTTATGCAACGCGACAATAAGAGCAGTTTTGCTTTTTGTTTGTGAATCTTAAATAATCAGAGCTAAGGATTTTCATCGGATTTGTTCTATCATAATCGTTTCCGAAGAATTAACCACATCCAATGGCAAAATAGAGTAAGCAATGCCGAGGCGTGGTGGTGTGTGTTCGGATATAATGATGTCAATTTATTTGAAGCCACTATCCCTGAACACCGACTCAGATGACTTGGACATGTTTTGTGAATTCTGTTTCAGTGATTCCTACACCTCAGATTACTTGTTGGCGCTGGAGCTGAATGGGAAAGCGGAGTGTCTTTTAGTTTATGACATGATACTCATGGAATGTAAGATGTTTAAGAGTTCGATCTTTCAATCCATTATGGCCCTCCAAATGGGGTCCTGGATATGATGTGTATGAGATGCGTTTTTTCTGCCACTTCATTAGGGGTTTCTCCACTTGGGTGTTCATTCCCCACTATCGTGTCCTCTCCAAAAAAGTGTTGTGCAGTTTCCGATTCTAACATATACCCAGGTTTCTTAAACATGAATCTGACCCGCTCCACAAATAAGAGAACTAGGAGTGAGAAGGAAGACTTCATTGACCAGCCAAATACAGAATTAACTGTATAATTATATGTCTATCCCTTGGAAGTTCAAACCACACTTTTCCACTGATGAAGTGTGTCTTTCTTAAAAAAGAAAGCCATATTTTGGCCAGTCACATGCGCTTACAATTTGATGGATGTTTGATTGGTCCAACGTATCACTTTTCTTAACTGTGATGTTGACTTATTCTTTTGTTATTGTTAGCGGGACATAAACTAGATTAAAGCATGCTCAATGCATGATTGTTTTGGTGCACGCTGATTGGCTGATTCTTATCCAATCAGCACTAGTCGATAGTCGGAGAATATTCTGGAATCTTCTTATGTAAAAAACTATAAATATACCGACGTTTTCCCCTATTGTGCTTCCTATTGTGCTTCTGACTTGCTATTTGGAATATAATCTTTTTCCTGTTCAACCGTGTTCTGATTTGGGGACTTGTCGAGTGAATCGGTGTCCGAGAATACTAAGCAACAGGAATAGCTGGGTCATTAACCGTAAGAAGAAACAGAGTTATAACAGTTATCCGGTTGAAAGTAGTATTAGAGCTGTTGTTTTCAACGTCTATCTTAATCCATCAGCCAGTGGAGGATATGTAACGTAAGTTCATTTCCAACAACATAACATATCTAGGTGCAAAGACACCGCAATGTATCTATTTGTGGGCTTCAAAGAGAGTCGCAAGTATCATATGTGTGCTAATGGTATTCTGTTAATTCGAATGACTAAATTTTAACAGTTAATGACGTATTCGGGTATATTGACTATAGAAATCAGTAATCCCCGACTTTTTACGATACATATATTTAGATTCCCAAATGTTGTTCTGTTGTATTCGACATCTATCACTCTCAAAGCTGTTAGCATCAATACGAAGTAAAATCAGGTATGTATAAATCTAAATATCTTATAGAAGAAATTGAAAACTGAGTCAAAACTGACGAAACAATTCTCTTCGTTTATCAGTTCGTTATTTTTCAAATCACTATTGTTTGTGTATGTCGTCTGTCATATCCAGGTACTTAATACAGAGAAGGTTATTTTCTTAAGGAAGTCCTTCTAGTATTTGACCTCAATGTCTAGTCCACACGGTAGTGATGGAGTAGTAGCATCAAAAAGTTTATTCTTGCACTAGTAGTCAGTGACCAGAGTAGATTTATGCTTCATTCATTCTTTCAAAATCCTGAAGCCCACATGATATGGATAGTCATTCAGAAGTAGCACAAGGTTAATCGTTGGCAATCATAAGTGACCTAAAGGTCAAGTGCATTTCATCGGGGTCCCTGGGTCAGTTTCCTAAGGATAGAATGGTATATACATATATGAATGGGTATTTTTTACATTTTATTCAGTAGTCCAATACACTTCCTTCTTCACTTTTGTATCCTCGCTCAAGTAGTCAGTCGGAGGGTTAACACAGCACACCGTGTATCAGTGTTAGATTACGAACACCACACGTCAAAACACCATGTACATCATTTATTTGTAGTTAAGCTTTTCTAACTCGCTTAGATAAATTCTCCATATACACAAACTTAGTTTCAGCATTCTCGGACTCCTGTTATGTATAGTCATCAAGTACAACTTCTATCAAAAAGGCTATAAATGCTTAGTCGTACGAAATTATTTCAAGAAGGAGAGTGAACTATCTTCACTATCGGTTGTACCAAGGCATTTGGAAGTATTATTTTATCAATAATATAGAATATTTGTTTCCTATTTTATGTGTTAAATAGTCGTTATATTGGATAAATGACAACTGTACAGATGTTAATTATAACGTGCCTTAATCAATTTGTCAATATCAGTTTCTCACTGACTATTGTTTTTCTTTTCTTTCCCTTACAATTTACTCTTATGCATACACATATTTATATCTTTATGTATAGTTGACTGCTTCAAATCCATTAAATCATCATAAAAATCCAAGTAAAGCTCAATTATCTCACAATGCTGTTGATACCCATTACGAATCATTACAACAACGAGCAAAGAAATCATCTTCACATTCTCTTGATGATAATATTCCCAGTGGTTCTTCCACCACCACCACCACCACCACAGCTGCTACTGACGTCCTCATCACTGAAACTTCTTCCACTAGGAATAAGTCTAACCGTAAAATATCAAGTTCGAAAAAACCCAATTATCGTAACGTATCTCCAGAAATTGTGAGTTTTTTTTCTTGCTTTCTATTTTCTGCTTACTAGTGATGGAAATTGTGAGCTATGTAGTTCTAGTGTGTGAAGTTTTAAGCAGTTAGGTTTAACCATGTCAGTTATGAGGCAGTTACTCACTAAAGGCATTGAATTATCGTCCAGTTTCTTTAGTTAACTGAAGTTCGAAATGTCAACTATTGGATATCGGTTCAGTGGTTTAAATGCTAAGCGCTCTCCCCAGGAATTGAAGGTCTTGGATTCTATTCTTGTTGAGATCGTGGATGAGCACTGTTGAAAAGTCTCATTTTAGGTCAAAATAGCTGTCCAATACATTCTAGTTTGTAATGATTGTCTAAACAAAGCTACTTTGTAATATTCAAGTGTATGACCGTTTTGTTATCTCCCACTAAATGGTGACCAATGTCATATATGATTCCCATTTAAACATTAAAAACACAAAGTTCGGTTGATTGACTACAACTCCTACCTTACATTTTGACACAGTGCACGCGACGTCGTATTTCTTAGACTAGTGAAGACACTGCGACTTGATCGACAAAATTGGATCAGCACTAAAGAAGAACTTGACACACATGACACTAGTCACCATTTATTGATCAATCAACTGGAGATCAGCCGTAACCTGAATAACTCAGTAGTAACGTCTCTGACTGTAAGGCTGATTAACACTAAATCGAGTCTGCCAGGGAGTACCAAATCTCTTAAGATTACAGATATACCTTGCTGACGAGTCCCAGGTGACACGAAACCTAGTTCAAGCAGGGTCCTTGTTGATTATCACCAACCATCGCTTTACTTTACTCCTATTCTTTATGAAGAGATAATTGTGGTGGAGTTTCCTTCTATATTCTGGATAGTGTTTGATCATGAAGCTTCCATTGTTCTTCTGAAAAATATTATTAACACAAACTTCAGGTAGAAATAAGGTCAACAATCATCAATCACGATCCAAGTCGACAGGACAAGCTGTCAATCATTTGTGGAGAAACTCGAAACCTCGCTTCTATCTGAAGTCTTCTAATAATTGTTGTTTCGAAGATCAATCACAACTTCACAATCAAACCATCTAGCTCCGAGGATGAAACTCCAACAAAATCATCCACTTGAGCTACAAATCTTTTCAATCATCTTACAATATATAATTGTGTTTAGAGTATTTAATAATTAATTCCGTTGAAAAATGAAATGGAATTGAGATTTATCACTTAGTAGTGGTTATTTGTCAAATCCTTTAATTATTCAGTTACTGTTCTCGACAACTTATGTGTAATTAACTATAAACCATGTATATATGTATAGGATAAAGCAGAATTAATTTTCTGTTTATTTCTAGGTTATTGAGTTACTGTACCAGAAATTGTCTTTTATTCACGTACATACGTCAGTGCATATTGCCATATCGCATCAACATGGTGAGGTGATAGTAAGAAAGAACAAACATTAGAATTACAACTCGTAAAGCTGGTATATATAAAGAAACACCTAAACTTTAGGTCTAAAGAAGGGCAAAGATTGAATGCATCTGTCCAACTATGGTCGATTCTCAACCACACCATTCAACCTCTCGAATGTTTAATCACTGTTATCCCGCGGACTCCAATCAGGTAGTCTGCACCTACCTGCACGGCTCAAATTGATAGTCCATTGCTTCATAAACTGATGCCATATTATCATCCTCATCATTAATTGAGTTAGCTACTTGCTTTTTCTTCATTTTTATTTCGATTATTTGTCTTTTTTCTTTTCAGGGATTCGATGATGACTATGATAACTGTAATGACGACAATGAGGAGGAGGAGGAGGAGGATGAAGATTATGACATGGATTACCATTATTCTAGTGATGAGATACTTGATGAAACTGATGATAAAAAAATCACTCCATGGAATCAACCATTAAGTAGGTGTTTACAAATCAACAAAATATAATATACTAACTATATTGTGTATTTGCGTCTTTGTGTATGTGAAAGAGAGAGACAGTTCAGTAAGGAATAGTGATGATCTTCATAAAATATAGCTTTTAAATCGTAAATCAACAATATGAAACAAGCAATGAACACTGATTAATAATGATCACTTTGTATGTGTTATCAATAAATTGTAAGTGGAAGGTGAGGGCATTGGCGGAAATTGTTATCCATTATGTCAGATCTGAATGACTGAATGAAGGAAGATTTTCAAATGAATTGTGATGAAAATGTTTAAATATTATTAAGTGAATGAATCCAGTGATATGTAAATGATAATTGTGAAATTTATATTGTTACAATGTAAATCATCTAATGATGACTGACTACTCATCAGTCAGTTAGTTACAATGTAGGACCAGGCACATACATGCATCTGTCCAAGTTTAATGGAAGACAGAGAGTGTATACACCTACGCCATTGTGATCGATTTTGAGCTGTCACCAAGAGTCTCCAACCATTGGTTACAATAGTCACGCGGACCCTAACCAAGTAATTTGTATCTACCAACATGACCCAGACTAAAGGTTAGTGACTTCATGGACTGATGCCACGTTTTTGTCTGGCCGCTCCTAACTTTCTTCCAACAATCCCCAACACTAGTCAGTATTGCGCATCGTGGTAATCGGTGTTTAGGCATACATAACACGTGTATTTGGGGATAGGACTAATGTCATAATACATTACATTGAATTAGAGAGAACTTGACCTCACTTTCTTGTTCTAATCTATCACTTACATATGCAATACTGAATACAAAAATAGGCAGTTTATTATTTATTTGTTTGAACACATAAATACTGGTACAAGGGGGCACCAGTTACATATGCGCCACACAAATCTCATTCAATATGTATGAGGGTTGTGATACTGTCCGGGTGCCCAAACCGAAGCAGGTGGCGTTCTTAGGGGGCCACTCCCCGAGCCTTCGACCTGAAGGTCTGGTCCATAAGGCAATTGAGCATTGTAAGGAGATGCAGTCTCATGAAAGCCGGTGACCAACAATTGGTTCATAGGCCATTTGTTCCCTCGGTTTACTGGAGCCCATATGCACCATTGGTTTGGAATCCTGTTAAAGCGCCGGACATTCGCTTTTCGTCCTCTCAATTTCGTAAACAACACTCGTGCGAGAAGGCAGTGATTAGGACTTCCCTGGCAGAGGCTATATACGCGTGGCCATGTGAGAGCATTTCGAGAGGCAGGGATGACTCTCCCCACTCTCGGCCGTACCAGGGCATTTAGGGGCAAAAATAGACAGGATTAGAAGCCAATTGAAATGTAGATCACTTATGTACCAATGAAATAAATACTTGACTATAAAGCTTAATTTATTACCTAATATATCATGTATTCAATTGTGTGTTTGAATTAATTGTTGAATAACTAATATTATTGAAAGAATTTCTCAAAGACGATACAAAATAAATTGTCTGAGATAGTAATGTTATGTTATTTTTCTAGAATACTCTCCTTACATTATTGTAAATTTTCATTTCTCTAAATTATATAATTATGGTTTATAGTAACTTAAATGGATGCACAATTGTGCTAGGTATCCTATTTATAACCTTTTTTTCGTAGTGGTTAAAGCAATGGACTTCAAGCTATTAAATCTTAAGTTCTAATTCAGCTTCATTTACTTTAGTTTAGGGACTGGGCAGCGATGAGTAACTGTATGTTCGATGTTCATTTACTAAATCATGGTTTCACCTACTTGGATTTAGACAATCGGATAGTATCATTAGCTGTCACGCTTAGAGAGTGACTCTAAGCCAAGTACATTAATCTGTAACTTGGTAAATGAGTTGAGTTGAACTGAAGTTTTTAGGGCAGCCAGGTAACAATACCAGCCACCCCTCCCTATTTACAAGTAAACATAGGAAAGTGTAACTCAAAATCCAATCATCGAATCTGTAATCAGCTTGCATCAAATGAAATCAATGTTACTTTTTTGGCTCTCGATCTAATTGTTATCGTAAACATGTTTGTCTTTAAGAAAAAAAACATACTTTTCCTACCTTGTTATTATTCGTTTCCTTTGTTTTTAGTTCCTGATGATCCAAGTTTCGAAGATCCAGAATTGGCTACACAACAATTTTGTATAGTATTTTTACAACGTTATTGTAGGGATGGTGTGACTATGTCGCCACCATTTTCTACATGTAGCCTCGAAACTGCTCTATCTTTGTCAGTTGGTACTGGTCAAGTGTGTGATGTAAGTTGTTGACATTTATTTTATTGATATGTAAAGTGTATGTTTGTAGTATTGCCATGTTTGGTTACAGGAAAAAATTCTGGGCATATTTTGTCGATCGACGCCTGGTTTTATTCTGATTATTGTTAGGTTTTCTAAACCACTTCTACTTCAATCTCAGCAGTAAACCAACCGAAGAACGTAAGTGTTATCTATGATAAAATTAAACATCAGTGGCTTGTTCGATAGCTTCGTCGAACATTTAGTGCCCCGATACTTATATCGAGCTCTGTTAGAGGTATAAGACTGGTTGCCACTTCCTGGTTGCTCACACTTTTAAAAGATATTTCTACTCATTCCTACTTTTTTCACTTTCGTGTAGCTGATTAGATCAAAGTTTAGGGAGCGCGTTTTTTGTAATTGAATTAGAGTATCAGACCATAACATTTGAGCAGTTGAATTCAAATTTAGTGGTGAAAATGCAGCATACTTGTTGCGAAGCCTATAGTTTTGAGTTCGACCCATAGCATGATCATAAGTGCACGTTTCTGAGGAGTGCAATACTGAGACGGCCATTCTAACGATAATTCAGTGTGCATCGTCATTTTAAAACACTAACTTCGGTAAATTGAACATGTTCTACGAACATCATTCAAGCGGATTCCTCATCAGCCATTATTCACCAACGTTGACGAGCAAAAGGATGTATGTTACGAAACTTTCCTTCGAAGGTTATTTTAAGTACTTAGTGGCCTATCATTTAGATGTAAATCAGATCGGACGATGTTGTCGACGTGCTCATCACTTTAGTATGGCCCTTTATTTTTACATTAATTAGATCGTATGAATGTTTGCTGTTGAAATATATGTATCCTGAATATTCTCGTATATTTAGTCATCAACTTAGATCCCGTTAGTCAGTAACGAAATTAAATAAGTTAAATACGAAAATGAATTTCGAACACGTGTATTTCATGCAATCAATGGTCCAGACAAAAAGATCTGAGATGCGAAGAGAAGAGAGCGAAGCAAAAATGATGCTCATTGGAGAAGGCTTGTGAGCCAACTCCATTTAACCAAGCGTTAATCAATATTTATAGCCACACAAAATTAAGCTACAAACATGTGATGAATAGGATAAAAAGTGTATACGCACATACGCTCATATAAAAACAGTCAAGGTTGGTAAGCGAATAATTAACATGGTCAAAATGTGACTCAGGAATAATAAATAGATTGGTCTGTCCGAAAGCTAGAATAAGGTACATGGGCTTAACATGATAACCGACACTACAAGTGCAGTAAAAATAAGGACATTTATAGGTCTGTGTTATGACCTTGCTATTCTGGAAGCTTCTGGAAACATCGTAGGAAAGTTAAGAAAAATATAATCAGACCAGGGTTTCGTGGGGGTTGTAGTAATTTAATAATTGAATTCATGAATCAGTTGAAGCTAGACTATCATGGAAAACCTAGAGGAACTGGACGGCCATTCCATCCAAGTATGGAACTCATCAGCAGTGCTCATACATGATCCCGCCCCGCGAGATTCAAACTCAGTCTCGCACGCGAACGCTTAATCTACTAATGAATAATATTCAGTTCACATGTATTATGTATTTACTTTATATTCATCTTCTGTTATTATTTCATTGGACTTGTTTTCTTTCTCTTTTTTACTCAGCGTAAACCATTATTTATATATTTACACAATGATGCGAGTGTAGCATGTCATGTCTTCTGTCAACAAGTATTATGCTCATCTGGTTTACTTAGATTTCTAACTGATCATGATTTTAGTTTATGGCCATGGGATATAACACATACACGAACTAGAGAACGTTTAATTGGTTGGCTTGAGGTGAAACTACCAAATTTATCAAGAATAATTACATCATTAACTGTTAGTGAAATAATTGTCTTCTTTGTTGTATATTTATTGATTTTCTCAATGGATTTATATTACAGTTGTTGAAATCATGAGTTAATTGAAGCTAGACCACCATGGAAAACCTGGAAGGACTGAACGGCCGTTTCATCCTATTGTGGGACTCCTCGGCAGTGCGCATCCACGATCTCACCTAGCGGGGTTCGAGCCCAGGACTTACTGGTCTCGCGCGCAAGCACTTAGCCACTAGACCACTGAGTTGGCATCCAACGGTGTTAATGTCTAACTTCAACTAATCCACGAAATTGAGCGACACATCCACCATTGTCATCAGTGAGTTACTATCTCACAACGGACCCGGTTGAATTTTGTAGCTTTACAGCATTGATTGACCTTAATCAGACAGAATTATAAAGTTTATTGAACAGTTATTTCGTTTTAAAATGATAAATTGTAATTAAATGTTAAATCGATGATTTGTGAGGGAGGTAAACGCTTGTCACAAAGCCTGAACTTTCTAAGTTTGATCGTTGATAGGATTATGGATACGGATTGTTGAGTTGGAGTGTTTTGCTTAGTTGAGACTTTTATCTAGTATTTGTTCCGATCTTCAATGTCTATCTAACTGAAGTCAATCAGTAGTTTTGAATTCAAAATCATTGAAATTCATATATTCTTTTTTATTTAAAGAAAAAATACTGCTGATTGATTAGGTTCTAATATTGTTCATCCTACTTTGGTTTAAAGAAACCGCAATTTATATCAGTAGATTCCATGTAATTAGATTGTATGGCCTAAAGTTGAGTACACAAACCTTGATGTGACTACTGAGTTAAATTCAGTGTTTAGTTGAATGATAGCTTTGTAGATAAAACATTCATAATTTTAATCGATTAGTATCACGTGTTACGTATGCCTGAACACCGATTACCACGACGCGCAATACTGACTAATGTCGGAGATTGTTGGAAGAAAGTTAGGAGCGGCCAGACAAAAACGTGGCATCAGTCCATGAAGTCACTAACCTTTAGTCTGGGTCATGTTGGTAGATGCGGATTACTTGGTTGGGGTCCGCGTGACTATTGTAACCAATGGTCGAAAACTCTTGGTGACATGGCTCGAAATCGATCACAATGGTGTCGGTGTATATACTCTTTGTCTTTCCTTGAACCATTAGATTAAAATTACTTTCTACCCTTCTTTCTGTATTATATTCTTATACACAATCTTTCTTTTATATATTACCACCATTGAATTAACTACTTCTATGAATTTGGTGTTCGTTGATTGGAATTTACTTGGTGATATAATAATTAGTGCTTATGTATTTGATTAACATTGGTACAAGGAGGTACCAAATATATGTGCACCACACATCAACATTCGATTTGTGTGAGAGCTGGGATACTGCCCCGGGGATCACAAACCGAAGTAGGTTATTTTCTTAAAAGGCCTCACTCCAAGCCTTTGACCAAAAAGTCTAATCCACAAAGCAGTGGAGCAACATCAGGAGGCGCAGTCCCATGGTAGCCGGCGACCAACAGTAGAATCAAACACCTTTTGTTCCCTTAGTATCCTGACGCCCATATTCCCCATTGATTTGCAGTCAGGGTTTTCCAACTCCCCTAGGATCCTCCATATCCACCAACACGGTCAGAGCGCCGGACATTCGCTTTTCGTCCTCTCGATTTTCTAAACAACACCCCTACCACGAGAAGGCAGTGAGTAGGACTTTCCTGACAGTGGCTGTAAACTTTTGGCCATATGAGATCATTTCGAGAGGAAGAACTGACTCTCCTTACTCTCGGCTGTACCAGGGCATTTGATGGTTTAAGTAAGCGACCGGAGACTTTAGATCGAGGTTTCGTGCTGTGTAACACTTGTCAACCAAACTCACCTGTAATGTAAACAGAGATGATGCCTCTTGTGAGACTCGAACCTGGATCACCTATTTATTAAACCAAAGTCGACTGTGACTAGTAATGCTTGTTGACACAAATTCAAATCTCATACTAAGCACCAGTCCCCTCAAGATTCTGGGTACATTTTACTAACAAGTGCCAACTAATAAAATCTAGGTCTAAGTTTCCTTTCAACCATCTGACATTAACGTAGCTACCCTGCAGCTTGATCGATAAAATTTAATTAGCATTAAAAGACTTCATAAACGTTACATTAATCAGTACTCAGTAATCAATTAATTAATGATTCGTTGTACATTGTTTTAAAATCAATATTGTTGCTAACATCTTTTGAAATTCTTTTATAGGTAGATAGTTATCCTATTCTAGCCATGATTGTCAAATTATCGAGTCAATTAGAAGTGTTATGTATTGTAATGGGTACTGGGATTGTAAAAATGTGGCCACCAATTGAACATTTTCCACCTTTGCTAAATGTACGTCGTAGTAGTAGTAGCAGTCATTTTACATCATCATCAACAACTGTACAATCAGTGAAAAATGATGCTAATTCCTCGTCAGTGGGCACCAGTTGTGGTAGTTTAAAACCAGATGTAATTGTTGCAGAATTATGGCAAGCTTATACAACATATTTGGAATTGTTAGAACCGGAATGTGCAGCTGAACGTGAAATTATTGCTCGACGACGTGTACTAGAAGAACAAGAAGCAGCCTATGAAGAATCGTTACGACGTGATCAAGAAAAGGTTGGTTATTTTCCTGAGTATTATTTATTCATTTTATGAAATGATGATATATAGAGACACACGTTTCATCTGGGTTTTTTTCAGATAAATATAAGTTAGTTTTGAACAGTTATGCGATTATAACTATTATTGATGACGAATAAATGGGATTTGGTTAGCAGTAGAGTCCAGGACGGGATTTCTAATCCAATGCACTTCGCTTCGAATACTAATGCGTCATCCACTTAGCTACTGAGTCCGAATAGCCATTGGCTAGTATCACAAACTTTGGAACGTATGCACATCTAGCTGACTAGTTCTAGTTAGGACGAAATGCTCCTCCACAATTTCACTGCTAGCCACATTCTGTCCATTCTACATCATATTGTATCATAATGCCTATATCGAGGGAATCCACACAGGAACTTCATGCACCTACTAAGATTTACCAAATTTCAGTCAAAAATATCGACAAGAGCATAATCGAAATCATTTCAAATTGAATTATAATTGAATTCACGAGTCGATCTAAGCTAGACCACCATTGAAAACCTGGAAGCACTGGGAAGCCGTTTCTTTTTAGTATAGGACTTCTCGGCAGTGCACATCCACAATCCTGCACGCGGGCCTTCGGTCTCGAGCAAGAACTCTGAATCTCTAGACCACGAAGAGGGCATCCCAATCTACCCATGGTCTTGCGCAACCATTCATCCATTATCTGAGATAGATACCCATCTCTACTCGACACGGATTGGATTCCACTGGTCACGGCGCCTCACTAGACTTACTTACTTACTTACTTACGCCTGTTACTCCTCGTGAAGGAGCATAGGCCGCTCACCAGCACTCTCCATCCAACCCTGTCCTGGGCAATCCTTTCCAGCTCCTTCCAGTTGTAATTCATCCTTTTCATATCTGCTTCTATTATCCGACGTAATGTACCTCACTAGAACTCCAGGAAATCCATTTTGAAACTAGTCACTAGTGATCACACGATTATTATCAGTATGAGGATTTGTGGATATTGTGAAAATAATACAGAAGTTTTATTCTATAACAGAAGGAGGAGTTTAGACAAGGTTATCGCTAGAAGTAACAGACCTCACCTTACCTGATAGGTTTCTGTCTCCTATCGTAATACCTTAAAATTATTAACTAACACACTTAAAATTCAAAAAGATCGTATGTGACCGGTTTCAAGCAATTGTCCTTCGGGCGTTACAGTCCGCTCCCATGTCGCGAAGACCGTTACTTCTAGTCACGTTTTCTTTTCAGGCCCGTTCAGTAGAAGTATCTCTTCACGATGTGTCTGAAGAAAAAATGATAACCACCCTTATACCTGTAACAACACTCTAGGTCCTCATTTCAGTGATCAAATTTTTTCGTCACTTCTGAACAATTCTGCTATCTCCTGTGTTTAACAGTTCGCTGATGACTTGTTTGCCACCCACCAGTGATGTTGACTATTCGAGTTAATGTAATGTTATTCTTGGATTCAGAAAACACATTTTGAACTAACTACTTTTCATAACTTTCAGTGTTCGCTAATTCACACTGTACCATCATCGGTAGAATCTGTTTTAAATGTTTTAACTTTCCTTTGTCACTTCCGCTAAACGAGTTGGTAGCAAAAGTTACTGGGTTCCAGTGCTTATTTGAAATAAAGGTTTCAAATAAGACGAAACACATTTCTTGGATTCCACTGTTAGCCACAATCGTTGTATTCAATTCCATTATTTGTTAATTATGTTCTTAAAGTTACTTGTAAATGTTATATATTTATTGTACCCTATTTCATTCACCCCGCTCCCCACCTACATCCAACAAAGGAATGGGAACGTGCCAAAGCCAAAGCGGAAGAAGATAAACGTAAACAACTTGAAGAAGAAAAACGTATAAGTGATGAAATCAAAGCTACACAACATCGATTATTTATGGCTGCTAGTTTACCACCGGAACCACCTACACCAAAAACACCAGCAGCTGAAGCATTTTTATCTACACCAAATGGTGTTGACGGTATTACAACGTTGCGTTTTCGTTTACCTCCTCAGTGTTCTAATGATCCGAATGTAAAGCATAGTACAATGATTCGACGTTTCGCTGGTTCAGATATTTTAAAACATGTATTTATGTTTATGGAATCGAAAGGTTATTCCAAATCAGATTATAAACTCTTCACTACATATCCAATCCGAGATGTAAGTGTTTGTAGTGCTATTGGTTTTTTTAATGTGCTGAATTGTGATGGATGTTGTTGTCGTCAACCAAACAGGTTTTCATGCTTCATTATATCAAACTATGTAGAGTGTTTATAACAACAAAGTCAAAGTCGAATCATCATCAACATTAGAGCCAGGCACAGATGTTTTTTGACCCAAGTTATCATATGATATATACAAAAAAGAGACGTAATTAACAAGATGAATGGCAGAAAAGACTGAAACAATGTAGTAGCAGTGATAGCGAAAAAGGCGAGGCATTAGGAACATGGTTCGAAATGACTGTTGAGGGTTGTGAATGGAGGGATACTGAAATTCAGGGGTGGATTCATCTAGGTCGTTGTGAATAATATTGAACCATATCACCTAGTGTCTCCATTGGTCGTGATTATCGCACAATCCGTGACCAGGTAATCCATATTTACCGATATAACTAAGATCAACAGTCAATCATTACATGAATAGATGCCATATCTTGGTTTAATTTCCCCTAGCTTTCTTGCACTTTAATTCTACATTAGTGAACACCGTACGGCGAGGTAGGTGGTGGTTAGACATACATAAAAGATGTCTTAATCATCGCGGTTGATACTGATTTACATCACCTACCAGTCTCCGACCTCTACCAAGTATCCTTTGTCTAACCCCAACATTGTAATATAGAACGTTACTTAATCTAAAAACCACTTTCAGAACTGTTTTATGTATACATGTGACAACTTATTTGAAGATTATTTACATGATTATAAACCCCTAACAGTTGCTAAATTCAAAGATCTCGGTTTACAGATCTGAATAACTTTGATTAGACAACTATTTTAAACGAAAGTGCACAATGAACAGTATTTTTTTCCTTTTTGTATCTGTATATACGCACCCGCAATCACATCAAAAATCAAACCCTAAGTCTATGTTTCGTACAAGGTGGTACTCATCGGATAGAAGTACCTGTAATCCTAAGCGAACTAGTGCTATTTGTGTGATCGAACACCATATCACTCAAATTCAGAGTATAAGACATTATCACTAAGCCATGCGATCGGCAGCTGACCTCCTATAGGACAGATATTTACAACTGACTGACCACTTAGTAGTAGTTTTTTTAATCGTGATTCAGCCAAACAAGTGTCATGTGTAAATGACATTGTTGGAACAACTTTACTGGATCACCGTAGTCGATCTTTTCAAATACATACACTTAATTGTGTTCATAGTATAGGGGGATTTATGGAGATTATTGATTTTGATTGGAATGACGAACCGACCATAGTTAAAGAATAATTAGTATAGGACACCTGAACGTTGCTGTTCCTGGAATCTACGGTATCATTTTTCACTAGTAATGCTAGTCCTGTAGTTGTCATGAAAAGCTGTGACCATTGCCGTTCCACCATGTCGCGGGTATGCAACAGTTATCCATCTCAGTCAATGGATGAGAGCTATACAATGTTGTGAATTAATTAAAATCGAACATTAACACCATTGAATACCAGGTCAATAGTCTAGAGGTTAGGCGTTGTCATGTGAGACCATAGATCCTTGATTCGATCCCCAGACAGCGTAGTCATGAATGCGAACTGCTGAGGAGTTCCATACTAGGAGAGAACGACTATCTAGACCTTTCATTTTTTCAATTCGTCATTTAAACTTATTGATGTAGATGATATATATGTTATTATAAGCTCTTAACGATTTACAATATCTTTATTGCATAATATTAACCCCTTTTCTTTCTCCCTTATTTATAGTTAACTTTAATGGATGAAAATATGACTTTAGCTAATTTAGATCTTGTTCCACAAGAAACACTTACTTTGGAATTACGTTAAAAAAAACAACAACAGGTAATGTCAAATAATCGAATCCACACACACACACACACCCCTCGCCATTTTGTTTGTTTGTTTGTTTATTCAGAATATTCATTATACATATACATATATGATGTATGATGTAATTGTATGGTACAATTACTGTAAACACTGTGTACTTGTTTTTGGGTTTCTTCTTATTATTATGATGATGATTTTGTTACACAGTCCATTCTGTACATTTACTTATACATACATACATACATACACACACACACACAAAAGTGTGTAATTGATGAATCCACTTTTATTTTTCCTTTCATATTTATTAAGTTTTCTTATATATTTAATAGTGTGTTTTATTTGTCCCATTTATCATTCAAATCCCCAATACACACACACACACACACGTTTATACACAACCATAATTTCATTAGCATAGTTTTATTTACCTCTTCCTTATTTTGTCTCTTTTCTTCTTCTTCTTCTTTTTTTCTTTCAATCTGTTCATTGTGAAATTTCTAGGCCATAGATTGAAATTCTTCACATGGACCATTAAAAATTCATCTACACTTTTTTCTTGTTCTTCTTCTTCTTCTTGTTCTTCTTTTATTCAATGATGTGTGTACATTATGAATAACTTGGTTTTCTCTTTGTTCATTTTGTGTTTGTCTTTGTCTCTCTCTCTCTCCCTCTCTTTGTGTGTGTGTTTGTTTGTTTGTGTTAAATGTTTCTCTTTGTTAAAATGCATCGTTTATTATTCAGATTTATTTATTTATATAAATTGTAGATTGTGTACTATGGAAATGGTTGGTTGTTTGTTTGTTTGTTTATTCTTTTATTCATTTCACTAAGTAACTATTAAAGATCATTTCAACTATCTTAATGATTAATTCTATGCACATTCATTCGTTAAAGGGAGAAGTATCACATTCTGTTGTTTAGAGGAAATATAGATGCAGAAAATAAAATTATATCATTGTGTTCTTATTCTTTTTCTTCTTCTTCTTTAATCTGTTTTTTTTTTCTTAAGTTTATTATTTTCCTTTTTGAAAGTTTCTTTTATAAGTTTCATCATAACATGATATGGATGGATTAGATTACTTGTCTGTTACTCTCTTTTTGTTTACTCTCTACATATGGGATCTAAATGTGGTTATTTGATCTACACCCAGCTAGTGTAGTTGGTCAGTCAGTCAGTAACAACAACGTAGAACTTCGTACCTACGTATATCAGTTCAAGTTGCCATACCACATTAGCACACTGATACAATTGTCGATACGAATCCCATAATAGTAAGAGTATAAGCAGTAATCGGAAATACTAGGGCTTGAAGATGTTATTCAAGGAGTATAATCCAGTGCTATAAATTTAGAAAGAGAAAAAAAGGGACATGAAGAATTCAGAAGATTAGAGTTTGGGAGAACACAGAGAGTGGATGCACCTGCGCCATTGCAAACGATTTTGAGCCATGTCATTCAGGGTCTCTAACCATCGGTTGCTATCATCTCGCGGTCCCCAACCAGGTAGTCTACACCTACCAACATGACTCAGTTCACTTGTCAGTGACTTCATGGACTTGTGCCATGTTTTGGTTTGGCCGCCCCTAGCTTTCTTCCAACCTACTCCTATACCACTGAACATAGCACGTCGAGGCAGTCGGTCGTTGGGCATACGTAACACGTGCCCCAGCCATCTCAACTGATGAATTTCCACTTTTTCATCAATCGATTTGCCATCCTTACCTAGTACCCGTTTCCTAACAACTGTGTTACTTACTCGATTGTGCCATGATATACGAGCAATATTTCGAAGACACCTACGATAAAATAGTAGTAACTTACGAATATCCTCTGCTCTTACCGGCCATGTTTCACTGCCATAAAGTAGGACGGAACGAACTGCTGCGCAGTAAACACGTCATTTGGTTGATAGACGGATATCTCGCCTACGCCATAAATGACGCAAGTTGGCAAAAGCTAGTCGAGCCTTCTGTATCCGTGCTGAGATTTCGTCACACACCAGACCACAAGGGCTGATGAGACTTCCAAGATAAGTGAAGTGGTCGACACGCTCAACTACCTCACCCGCTATCATTGGTTCGGGTGTCGATGTAACCCAGTCCTGAAGCAACATTTTGCATTTCGAGGGGGGCGGTGAGGAAAGTGTTATCTCTTAAAGCACGTCAATGACAAAGCGACTGTGGGAGCTCAAGCGATCCACTATTCGAGTATCTGAGAGATTAGACCGCATCTTGTTGGTGCAGTTGTGATGTAAGAAGAAAATATACTTGTATGATGTTAAGTTAGATGCAACGTTTTAGTTTTTACGAAGTCCCTATCTATATTCTTTTCGAGTCCGGGTGTAACATGAATAACCTTGAGCACTGGCGAAATAATCTTGACTCTCATTGTTCCGCTAATCTGAGCGCCTTTTTCTCTCATCCATATTTAAGTTCAGACAAGAGAACAGTGCAGCCAAACTTCTGTTTTTATATTCCAAGCACGTAGTATCTTCGTTTCAAATAGCCATTAATTTTTATATATAAATTATTAGATCCCAACACAATCGAAATAAGAAGTATTTAACATACAATCTTACCATGAATTGCAAAGACTAGTGTAAACTGTACATGATTGGTTAACAACAATTAAGGATTAATACAACGCCATAGTAATAATTAGTAAGTCTAACGAAAGCTAACAAGGCTAGAAATCTCATAATTCGATAATCTAATTACATAATGATTATACAACCAAATTATTATTAGTAATAGTCTGTAAAATTATTTCAAAAGTCATAATGTCCTCGGTGTTCACTCTGCCACAATGAAATCTTAACAAACTTTACAATTTCACTTCATCTTGTTTTAATTGCATCTTCCCATTGTCATTTCGGATTGCAATTGATCACTCTCTTATTGGCATGTGTGCATCCTGTGCGGATTGCCTCGATATAGCCTTAAGTCACAAGCTTTTTAAGTGAAGATGGATAGTGGCTAGCAGTGGTATCCAGTATGACGCACGTTTCGTTCTATTTTGGGCTCGTCCATTGCAATCCTAAATAATAATGGGAAGATTCAAGTAAAATAATACCAAGTGAATTGTAACTTCGCCCCATTGAACAAGCAGGCGGCTGTCAGGAGTCAGTAGCTAAATGGGGAACGCGATGGCGCTCTAAACGAACAGTACTGGGTTCGAGTCCCGAGGTGAACATCAACTGTGGGATGCAGGTACATCCAGCTGACAGGTCCCAAATAGGACGAGACGAGCGTCCTGAATTTCGCTGCTAGTCACTATCCATCTTTACTTAAAAACTCCAATTTGTTCTGAACAATACTGAATTTTGGTGGGATACCCACTCTTCACTGGTTTGTTACACAAAATGTTTTGAGGTATTTACAATGTTATATACACAGTGATTATATACCTGCTCAACGTATTGATTTTTACTAAGATATTGAAGTGATCGACTGGGGTTTTCTTTGTTTACAATAATAACAGTGGAGTTGTCTTGCAACCCCAAAAACACACACTGATTATGATCAAATCTTGTTGTTACTTTTGGAAACCTGATTTCTCTCATTAATGAATTGAAGAATGTCAATAGATACTTCATTGAGAATAATCCTCTTTATGTGGATTTTTAAGTGGTTTAAAATTACAGTCAAGTGATTGGATAAATTGTTCAATCAAATCTCTTAGATCACACGTCAGTAGAATACAAAATTTAGAGTAGAAAACTGTTGACTCAATGAAACAAAACTAAAATATGAATTCTTAGTATATTTACACGTCAAATGTGTCTAATCTTACATGATGTATGTGGTCAAAGAAACAGTTTTTCGTGTCACTTAAGTATTTTAATTGTTGAATTCATGAGTCAATGTAAGCTAGACCACTATAGAAAAGCTGAGAACACTGAACGGCCGTTTCGTCCTACATGTGGGATTTGAGCCCAGGACCTGCGGTCCCATGCATGAACGCTTAACCTCTAGACCACAAATACTGTATCCAACGTTGTTAATGTATAATTTCAATCAATCTATGATCTTGTACAACCGTTCATCTATTGTCTGAACAGGATGCTTATCTCTACCTGAAACAGATTGAACTCCATTGGTCACAGTTTTTCATCAGAACTCCAAGAAATCCATCTTGAAGTTAGTCACTAGTGAGCACATGATTATTAAGATCAGAATGGAGATTTATAGAGATTTTAGTTATTAAACGATATATATTTATTTGCAGTGTGTAACGAATATAACCTTTAAAAGTACATCGTTTCATTTGTGTGTATGCACCGGAAGGTAACCTAAATGTACTTTATAATATCTGAATACAATCTATGTATATATATCAGTACGTGAATTTACACATACCTAAACATCATATTGCACAATACTAATTATTACTGCATCAAGATATCAGTTTTGTAAACGGTAAAGTGTCAATAAAACTTTGACTGATTTATTTCTTTGTAATTAATATAGATGAAAATAAGAAGTTGTTATCTTAAAGTTTCGCTGCTAGTCATCATCTATCTCTTACAATTGATTGATCACTGGGTGGTGATCAATGTCATGCTTGTCTAGTCCTTATTACTGCAGATCGAATGCTATCGATCATGTTACAATGTGGCCACCAGTCTAGGTGACTCGACACTGCGGGCATTATGTATTGAGATTTAGATGGTGGTTGGAGGTAGTCAACAGGGTTTCCTGTTGAATACCTCCAACTACCATCTAAATCATCTATCTCTGCTCATAATGATAGAATTATATTCAAAAGATTTTTCAACGAGATTGTGAATATCTTGGAGATTATTCAATTTGAAACTAATTTACTGACAATGATGAGCCTTATTTATAAAGAAAAACCAATTTTATAATAGTTAGAATATAAATGTTTAAGTTAACATGATGAGTTCGGCTTCAGATGTAGAGTTAAAAGTTTAAACTGTGGTCAGGAATAGAACAGAAGAATGCTTTGCCCTTAAATACTCTGGTGCAGTTGAGAGTGGGGCGAGTCAGTGCTGCCTCTCGAAATGTTCTCAAGTGGCTATGAGCATACAGCTACTGCCAGATAAGTCCTACTGATCGCCTTCTCGTGGTAGGGGTGTTGTTTACGAAACTGAGAGGACAAATAGCCAATGTTCATCGTTTTAACCTGATTGGAGGATCCATCTAGGAGGGCTGGGAAACCTTGATTGCAAACCAATGGTATACATGGGCTCCAGGATCCTAAGGGAACAAATGGCGTGTGAACAATTTGTTGGTCACCGGCGACTATGGGACTGCATCTCTTTACGTTGCCCCAATGCTCGGGGTGTGGCTTTCTAAGAAAACCACCTGCTTCGGTTTGAGCACCCGAGTAGTATCTCATCCCGGATTATATAATGATATGTCGATTATATCAGGAGGGGTTTTGCGAATATTACAGCGATTTTTAATAGTTGAGATCATGAGTCAATTGAAGCTAGACCACCATTTAAAAACCTGGAAGCACTGGATGGCCGTTTTGTCCTACTATGAGACTCCTCAGCGGTGTGCATCTACGATCCCACCTTGCAATATTCGAACCCAGGACCTATCAGTCTCGCATGCGAGCGCTTAACCACTAGACCACTGAGACGGCATCCAATAGTGCTAATTTTTCACTTCAACTAATCCCAGAAATTGAGTGAAACATAAACCATTGTCTTCATTGAGTTATGATCTCACAACAAACTCAGTTGAACTTCACTGATCATAGCTTCTCACTAGAACTCCATGGAATCCATCTTGAACCCGGTCACTATTGAGCGCATATTGATTCGTATCAGAAAGAGGGTTTTGTAAAGATTGTAGTCATTTTAATAATTGAATTCATAAATCAATTAAAGGTAGATCACAATTTGAAAATCATTCAATATTGTTTCACTTACTTGTAATAAAAGTCTTATTATTATATTTCACATGTAGATTAAATACAACAATAAAGTAGAATACAATCATGTGTAATTCACTATTTCAAGGTTAATGCTTAAATCAATATCATGTGCTGTCTATTATGATTTGATATAATAATGATGATAATTCCTTGAAACACTTTCAAGTATGGATATTCTTATTG